TCAGTTTCTCAAAAGATCAATCTTTTTCATCCTATATTCCTTTTTATCTGTCTTCCTCTCTTTTGTTTCCCCTCGCTTTTTCATGCAGTTTCCTCCTCCTACTTTTTCTTCTTAATTTTTTTGTACCTTGTATAACTTTTTCTTTGATACCACGACTTTATTTTCACATCCAACTTCTATTCTTTTCTTTCTCAATCATTCTTATTTTTTAACTTATTTCATTTGTACTTATTAACCTTTCTCTCTGATATTTCCTCCCTCCATCTGTTTTCTCCCTGTCTTTCTCTATTCGCTCTCACTATTTTCCCGAAGTATCTATGTATGGAATTGAATGAATGGTGGTGAATTGCTCAAGATGTTTACTACAACAATTTCAACGGCCTGCCAATCTTCTGCACCGACTGTTGTTTGCTACTCTAGAGTAGTTGCTGAATAATCCAGGTGGGGTGAAAAAATGCTTAATTGAATGCATTACTTTAAATTTCCCGATTACTTTTAGTTTTATTTCACTTCAGTAGGCAAGTTGTAGCACTTCTTCACTTATTTGTTGTGTTTTTCGTTTTTTTTTTTTTTTTTTTTTACTTCTGACAGGAATAACTTCATTTTCTAAAAAGGCCAAAAAAGCCAAAATGAGAGTGCATGGTTCTTTTTTTTTTTTTGTTACACGAGAAAACTGCATGATTTTAAAGGTCACATTTGAATTGCATTCTTCATAAAAAGACTTGACAGCACAATAAATTTATAGAAAAATCACATTAACTCGCTTCTTTCTGCAAAAAAGCCTGTTCATTTTTGTCAACTTGGTTTTCTTTTTTGTTTGCTAAAAAAATTAACGCATTTTTTACATATTACTTAACTTAATTGTGGCAAAAACTTTTTGTAGTGCATAATTTAATTAGAAGCTCTTTAATTTTTATTTAATTGCTTGGAATTTTATCTCACGCCAAAAAAAAATAGAAAATTCATTTAAAAATTATTAAAACTTACACAGAGTGAATTTTTTTCTTTAGCAGTCGTAAAAGCTGAAAATGTTTAATTATAAAAAGTAAACACGAAACCTTTTTTTAATTTCTATTTTTCTTGTTAGTTTTTAAATTTTAACAGCTCTTTTATATATCTTTTTTTTTTTTTACAATAAGGTGTTCATTGATTGACAATGGTAATGAAATGAACATTTAAGCTTTGCTTTTTTTTTAACACATACAAAAATACCGGCTTTCTCCCCACCAAAACATGTTTATTTTTTGTTTAGTATTCTTTCTTCTTCATTTCATTTTCCCTTTTTAGTTCCGATTGAAACCCTGTAGTGTAGTTTTTTTCGTATTTTTCCTCCCACAAATTTAAAAAAAAAAAAAAAATATTCAAAAAAAAGTAAAACTAAAAAAGTTTAGGTTGTTGTACTCAAGTACTTTAAAATAATCGCTTAAAAAATCAGCTTTTTAAAAAATAACGCTGTAAATTGAATTGCCACAGTGAAGTTAAATAATACGATAAAACAGCCAATAAATTAATTTTAAGATCCCTTTTCAAAGACTACGCTCGATAAAACTCTTCTTCACATTTTCAAATTGTTTTTTGACATAAACTATTGATTCAAGGATTGATTAAAAAAAAGTAACGGAAAAAAGATTAATAAATATTTTTCGAACATAAAGAATTAAATTATTTCGTTTATTTATTGATAATTTTATAACGTCCTTGGTTCGTGGATACCCAACCAAATCAATATAATCGATCCAGTTGGACTGATTCATGAGAATTTCTCTTGTCTCTCTGATGACGCAATGAGGTCAACATGTTGCATGGACCAATCAAATTTATCGCTTAGGGTCAAGACAGTGTTTCATATTAGCAATGATTAAAAAAAGCAATGAATTAATTAAATTAATATCTAAGATTATAATTTAATTATAATTTGTTTTTAAACCATTTTTTTTCGTAAAAATGAAAAAATACAAACAGTAAATTTAAAAAAATCTCCATACAAACTCATCGTTGTTTTGGCCATGTACAAATAAAAATAATGACTACCTAGGTAGTAGTAGTAGTAATTGTGTCGAAGGCCAGTTTTTATATTTATTTATTTATTTATATATATATATATATATATATATATATATATATATATATCTTATCTTTGGAGGGTGGGAAACTGTATGACACATTTCAAATGACACGCTTTAAGAAAATGCACTTTCCTAAATTAATTTACGAAAAATGTTGGCCAAAGATCAGCTCTTGATTTGACATCCCTTTCTTAAAATAAAAAAGGACATTTTTTCACACATTTCGACTGATTTTTTTTCTTTCATCAAACTCAAACAAACAACAAAAGTAAAACAACCATTCCAATTGCAGTGGTCAATTTTTCATATCTATCTATAAAAAAAACTACCTTATTCCTTATAAAATAAAAAGAGAAATAAAATAAAGTCTGTTCATCGGCAATGTAGTGTGTTTGTTATTTTACTCGTCTTATTTCTTATTTAAAAAAAAAAAAAAGATGATATCTCTCTCTACATATGTGAACAGATGTTATTTCTTTTTAGTTTTAAAAAAGTAGTGATTTGTTTTTTCTCGTTACTTAAATCGGGTAAAAAAAAAAGCTTAAGAAATGATCCTCAAGCTGTAACTAACATTTTAAAATTTATTAATTAACGAAATGAAAGCTAAGTGACACGTGATTCATTTTTTTTTTTTACTGGTTTTTTGAATAAGATGAAGACTAGCATAAAAAGTTCATTTCTGATTTAGATACTATTTTTCGACTATTTTTGGAAACGAATCTTAATGAAGATTGAAGCTGAAGCCAATTGATTTTTTTTTTGTTCTTTGCCAGCTTAGTTTATTTATCGTTTTAGAATTGTATTGCTTTAAAATAAAAATTAAAAAAAAAAGTTTCATTTCTGTAGAAATAAAACTAGTTGAAGCACGACTTGAAATATTTGACCCGGTTTGTCTTTTTTTATAGTAATTTTCCATTTATTATGAAACTGACTGCCTTCTTTTTTTGTGTTTGCAGTATTAGTACTACTAACTAGTGTACAGCCTTTTTCTTCTTTTCTTTTTTTTAAATATGCTTCACAGAAATTATTCACTGTAGGTTTTCTTTATTGTTTAGTTTGTATAATCCTCTAGAAATATTTCTGCAGCCAAAAGAATTTAAAAGATTTATTAAAATCAAAATAAAATGAAAAAAAATCGTATTTTTTCTTTTCAAACACCAAGCATTTTTTTTACAATCGGTGGGAGTAAAAACAGGGTTATTTGTCCAGAAGTCTCACAAAAAAAATGTTTGGGGGCTGGTTTAAAAATATTCTCACCAAAATTGGAAAGTGATGATTTCCTCCCGCCTTCAAAAGTTTAAAATATAAATATCTTTAAGAAATTTTTAAATATTTTGATTTTAAAAAGAGTACTACTACTTAATGGTTGATTTTTTTTGTATTTATTTCCGTCCTTAAGGCAATATATTTCCATTTTTATTCTCTTCCTCAACTAGTTGTTGGCTGGTGCAGGCGAGAATCTTTTTCTTTAAAAAGAAAAAAAAAAATCTTCAATCAAGATATCGCCATGACACTGACAAATGCTGCAGTCAGACAAGTGCCTGAGACATACAAACAATATTTGTCGGCCAACATGCATTAAGGAGACGGGACATTTGCTTTTAAAAATAACTTTTTAAAATAAAAAAAAAAGGTGGTAGAAAGAGGTGGATATTTAAATGTTTTACGTGGTACCACCAAGCAAAATGTAGTTTTATAAAAAAAAAAAAGAGAGGGGTAAAAATAAGTACGGTTTTTTTTGTTGTTTTTTTTTTTAAAAAAAGGCAGGTGTTTAGAGGCTCAGACAACAATTAAAAAGGAAAGGGAGTATTAAAGGGGAACGAACTAGTTTCACTGTGAAAAAAAGCAGCAGTTATTAATTTGTTTTTGTTTTTTATACGAACCTAACTAAAAAGTTAATAAAATCTTCGGGTTGTTTTGTTTGAGTTTGCATTTGCTCAATTACAATGTAGACGAACAAAGAAGAGAATGAGTTTTTCTGGCATCAATATTTTTTCATTTTTTCCCTAGTAAGTGCGTGGGAGGGACCTTGATTTCTTATCAATATCATCCTCCATTTACAAGATTGATTGTATGTTTTATTATTATTTCAGGTTTAAAGTTGAAAAAAAAAAAAAAAAACTACCACAGATCACAGAACCTTAGCTTTCACTTCTCGGTCTTAAGTTCGAAAATAGTTATTAAGTCGTACTTCAGAACCGACTATGTTACTCGTGAAATTTGTAATGTAAAATAAAAAAGTAAAAACTAAAAAAAATATTCACTGACCAAGCGAGTTAAGTAAAAAGGGTAAGAAAACAAAACAAAAACAACAAAAACACCAATTTAGGTGCGTAAACAACAATAACACGCCTTCATTCTTCCAATATTCAACGGAAATAAATTTATTTTTAGAGTTTGGTTGGATATTTAATTTTTAGATGGGCTTGAGTTTTTACATGTGGTAAGCCTGTCACTGTCAGTTAGGAACACTTTTTTTTACGAGTTTTAGACGTAAACTTGAAGCTTAACCACATTTATTGTCTCACTGGAATTGGATCTTCTTCTTATCATATGACATATTGTCTGTCAACAAATCGAGATAAAAAGGGGACCATCCGACGTTATGTTGTTTGTCACTCCCTCCAAACTCCGCAAAAAATGTACTGAAGTAGATTGTCAGAAATAGTTTGTTTTGAAAAAAAAGTCATCAGTAAAAAAAAAAAAAAATGGTGTTTTCGGCATGAATCTTTAAGAAGACTTGTTATTAGGATCAATCTTTACTTCATTCATTAACTTACGAAAAAAGGCACTCTGATAGTCACAGGTGCTACTCTGAGTAGTGTGTGTTAGTCATTTAGAGTGTAAATATCGGTAAAAGTCATGCCAGACATTCATTTAAAAACCACAAAGAATAAAAAAAAATGTGTAATCTAGCTCTTCTTTTCTAAGGGCTTACGGCCACATCATGTTGAAACACCGGTTCCCGTACGATCACCGAAGTTAAGCAACGTCGTACCTGGTCAGTACCAAGTTAGATGACCGCTTGGGAATACCAGGTAAGCTTGGGTGTGCAAGTGGTGTAAATGGATAATGGCTCAGAATTGTTAATTGGAGAGCCGAGTTCCAATTCCCGTTGGGTTCGTTATATTCACACGCGCAAATATACCCTTAGGGAAGGTATGAATCCCCACCCCCTCCAGCCTCTGGGTTAATTAGTAAGACTTGTAACCATTATTATCTCCAAAAAACACTCTTACAATCTAAAAATACTTTCTGGCTTTAAATAACTTGCAGAGGGTTGATAAGCCATACAAAATGAATGAATCTTTTCTAGGTAGTTTTCCTAATTAGAAATTTATAACCTAGATTATTGAACCATTTTTATTTTGTTAAGGTAGGTTTCTTTAATGTTTTTCTTTCCTTCTAGTGGCTTTGGCACAGTTTTTGTGGTATTACTGAACAACGTCAAATTCAAAATCCATTAATCTTTTAGAAAATACTTTGTTTATGTTTTGGATACAAAACTAAGCAAATATGGGCTTTTTGCCAAAAATATCTGAATGAGGAAGTGTGCTTTCCTTAAAAAGGAAAACAGAGCCCTTCTGAACCATGACATTCTCTGTAGCTGAGTGGTAAAGTACACAAAATAAAATGGTGGTTTCTCCTACAAAGGAGAGCACAGGTTCAATCTCTGCCAGAGAGCACATTTTCTTCATTAAGATTTCTCAAATACACAGGCCTATAGACTAAAGCACACTGTTTAAAATAAAAATGAAGTATCTATTTCAAATACAAGTATCCACTATAATATTTGAAATAATGAAATATATGGATGGATGGACAGGGTAAATTTATATGCATTTCAGCTTATCTTTATTAAAAAGATTGATGAAAACTTGTTTTCACAATGTCAGGTTTAATTATCCAAAAATATAAAACATAGAAATATATATTTGATTAACACAGTATCCTATAGATTTGAATAAATTATTTTCTTATATTACCTGTTAAAATCAGCTTATTAGCATTCTATAACTTTCATTCATTCATTTTTCATTAGTCATTCATTGATTTTATTAACTTTTCTACTGTTTTTGACTTCAACATTTCTTACAACAGTTGGATCCCAGAAATCTTTGCTTGAATATTATTTTCTATTCTCATATACATTTTTTTAAATTTTTATCATTCTGTATGTAATTTCATTTGCTGTACAAAAAGTTTAACATGCCACTGAAGGTGACTCTGATCACTGAACAATAGTGTTTGAATTTCATAGTTGTGTTGTTATATCCTACTATGGCAACAGAAAACCACTTTGAGTGAAATTAACAATAAGGATACAGCAACTGAACGGCCTTAAAAAAGAATGCAAGGGAAAGGAAAGTAATATTAATAAAGCAGAGTGATAAAGGTTAATGATGGACTACAAATTTTTTATTAGAAAAGTTGGAGTCATTCCATTAATTTGGTGCCTTTGAAACCTTCTATAGCAAGTTGGGCAATAGTTAGCTTTGCAGATTGTGAAAGAACATCCTCTTGCATGTAGAAGGGAAAAGGTCTCACCACCTGGAACAAAATGCACTCATACATGTCTCACATACAAAATACATAGAAGAAAATATGGCTGATCCGTATGCTGCAATTTAAGAACAACTTGAGCTTGGAGAATTTGTGAGAGGAATTTCTGGCTTATAGAAATTTCTGAGCCTCAGTCACTCAATAAAAAGAGCATGAGCGAGATAACAACAGAAGGGCTGCAGACATCAACAAGTTCAGTGGTCATGCTTTGTGTGTAGAGTTTCATGATAGTCTCACTGATTGTGATTGAAAAAACAGGGTACAGTTGGTACACCAAACAATCGTACTTTTTTTTTTTTTTTTTTTTTTACTACAAGCTATTTCGTCCTCCCAATCGGCATAATGTTGGAGGGGAAATTCAATATGAAACTCATCCCAGGGTTTGATGGCTTGGCGTCTCAACCGTCCGTGGTCAAATGAGTTGAAAAGTCAGAACTTGTATGCAAGATGTGCATTGTAAAACATCTTGAACACATAATCCCCTTTAGGTTGTTGGGTGGAGCATTTGTTGTCAACCAACAGCTGGGAGAAGAGTGGGTATTAACTGAATAAAATCCATATTGTATATGGCTTTTGTGATGGATGGGTTCATGGCATATGATGAATTCACTGAACAATAGCTTCGTCAAGGGGAATCAGTCAATGTATACTTGGTACAGTTACAAAAACTTGCAATATTATTCAGCAGAGTGAATGGCTGCAGACTTGCATGTGTATTTGTAAGGGGATTGTCACTTCAACCCAGATGGACGCACTAGCAATTGACCAGCTGTTGGCTTGTGTGCAGGCAATTATGAAGGACGTCATGGAGGATGTTTTGCAAGTTGTGGCTGTGTAAGCAATACAGGATGGGATGAAGAAGCTTCCTACCAAGAATCCATGCAATAGCATAACATATTGGCACAATGGTGCTAATCATTTTGTAAAGGACTGCATGGGACCCTCACATTTAAAGGCAGAAACCCTGAATACGTTTTCTACAGGTGCATTGAGATAGGCCATATCTCCTGAAATTGTTCTGAAAATGAGCCAGGGGCAGAGACTTCAGCACCAGTCTGCTCCTTGAACCCAGTCTGAATGAGGTGCTACCTGAGATTACTGTATGCATAATTGGGATCAAGAGTGCAGCCTTGGTGAACATGGGTTGCTCATAGTCACTTGTTAGCAGAACACTTTGTCACCACTGGAAGAGGAAGAAAGTGGACATGCTCTCTTTTGGCGATGAGACCCTTAGGTGCTGTGGGCTCAGATATTTAACTTGTTGTGAGCAACAGGTGCCCTATTAATATCGAAGTTCTGGTTGTAGACGGGAAGCTACAGGGGTACAACCTATTGCTTAGAGTTGACATCATTAGGAGGCTGGGTGGTATGTATGTGTGTGTATGTGTGACCAGCAATGGCACTGTGAGTTTTCCTCAACTTGACTGATCTTTGTGCACAGCCATCACCATCAACGAGCCCAACTTTCATGCAGAATATGACCTGAACAGGAAGACCCAGGTTGTATCATGGAAGTGGTCTGATGACTCTGCTAAAGAACCAGATACCGAAGTATCCCACACCAAAGTAGCTTAGGGTGGAGTATACTCACAAACTACAAACTTGGATAGATAGCAGTTGGCTACTTCCATAGCCTGAAGAAGAGCTTGGACCCCACCTCCCAATGGTCTAATCACACTAAGGGATGTACTACAAAAAAACAAGCAAAAGGTCCACCCCATTAATATGTTGATGCAAACACAGCTAATACTGATGTTTTTGTGCAAAATTGTGAGAGTAGCAACAGGAAGCATCAGACGTCACCATGCTGTATCTGCAGTGAGCCTATCTGCAAATTCATGTGGACAAATTTTTGTGGCCCTTTCTACAGTAGAAATCAAAAGTCAAAGGTATTGGCTTACTCATTTGGGGTTATGATTGTCATGATTGTCAATGAGAGTGTGTGTCCTGAACACAACCAGAACACCTGGAACAATTCAGACTGACTAGCTAGAATCTGGAGCAGCAAAATAATGGCACCCATGGGCTGGGTTTGCATGCCTAGGATGAGTAGGGTAAACTGCAATGGAGACATGAGAGTGAGCTCCAACTGATGCCTAACATACACACTCATAAGAGGATCTTTTGCCTGTGTGGGAAATTAACCAGACATCCACCAGTGTGAGGTTGGTTCCTTGTCACAGCCACATTCATGACAAGCAAACTCTATAATTGTCTGGCATGGATGATGAAACATGGCACCCTCTCTTGGATGCTGACCGACATCATAACCAGAATAGCACAGAAGACTCCAGCGCAGTGAGTGAATGAACACAGTTACCATATGGGTTAATACAAGCTCCTTGGCTACCAGGGTCATTGTAGAAAGTGGTGGATCTTTGGTTGAGGATGCATGTTGACTGTGCCCAGTACATGAAAACAAGCACATTAACTTGGCAGAGCTCAACGCAATGTTGAGAGGTATCTACCTGGCGTTGCAGTGAAAGGTGACTGCGGTTCACCTGAAGACAGACTTGGCATGTGTACATCACTGGGTTTCTGATACGCTGTTGGGAAAAATGAGAGTGTGCACAAAGGTGGTATCAGAAATGTTAATAAGATGTTGGCTCAGCACACTCAGGGAACTAGCTGTGGAATTTGGGTTAACAATTGACATGGAGCTTGTCAAATCTCACATGAACCAATCCGATCAACTCACCAGGATGCCTCAATGATGCACTTCAAAAAGAAACAGAACAACTGTGTACTGTGTCCATGGAACAGCAGGAATTCATTCGTATACAAACCATCCATCAACAAAGTAGCCATCCTGGTATGAAATGCACATTATATTTTTTAAAACAGATCAGTCCTGAAGTCTCAAAAGCAGCAGTTCGTGCAGTGGTCAGAGATTACAAGGAGGCATGCCAGTACATAGAACTGGTTCCAGTGCTCTAGTTGATTTTCCATCTGGTATTTATTATGCCAGCATCATCCAGCAGTTGGATTTTCTATGAGAGCGGGCCACTTGCCGAGTTACTCATCGACAATGGTGCGGTGTTCTGTGGAGAGATGTTTGCAAGATCTGTAGAGGAGTGGGTCATCCGACTGAGATTCCGGTGTGCCTATGTGCCGTCAGGGAATGGTATCATAGAGAAATCAAGCAAATTGCTGTTAGAACACAATGTTCCATCATGGAGGCATTATATTGGTATGATGCTAAAAGATGACACAACATCCATGACAGCACCAGCTAACTCTACATACAAATATCAGACCCACATAAAGGGTGTTAATATTGCACCACCACTTGAACATATAGATTCTGGAATCTACAGAGTAGGAGATGTGGTCTGGATAAAAGCCCTCACATGGTTGATGCTTAATGCAATTTAAAAAAGGGGGAGTGATGGGATCTATAGCCCACAATTGGTTCTTTTCAATGGAATACTATGCCACATCAAAGATCTTCATTTTTGTCATGGATGTATTTCCCTT